CGGGAGATTAGAAGATGTTTGCTACTCAACGCGTTAATCCAATCTGAGCCATCTGCACCTACCTGTACTAGGGTGGTTCAAGTTTGTATGGCAGATCACGACACCTTGCTCCCCACTGCTCTTTCGTTTTTCACTGAGGTCGTCAACTGTTTCACACATTTGGTAACGGTATAGAGTTGCGAGAGAATTGTATAGTTTGTATGGGAAACGAAACAAAAGTGAGTGCTTGTCTAAAATTGTTAAATTTTAACCAAACCTGAGACTTAGACGCCTATTCTGCGCTGCGAGTGAGTTAGGTGACTCTCTATCACTAGTAAGGTGACAATAGTCACCTCATGTGAGGTGACTCTCCTTTTGATATTTGGAGACGAACCAGCCCCAGGCTGAAAGCCTCCCTAATAAAGATAAATCAATCAATCAATCCTTTTGGTATACAGGGAAGTGAAAGTCTAAATATTAACAGCCAGTTGTTGTTCAAAGAATTTTGTTAATTTTTGAGAGTCCAACTTGAAATATTCACAGAAGTATAGGTAGCATTTTTTATAAGCTGTTCAATGAAAAATATTGAAGAGGGTCGTTTTTTCTTATTTAAATTTTAAACACTTTGAGATTTGTTACCCAAATTTGATTGAAATGTTTTACCGTGCATTTTTTCTAAAACTTTGTCTCAGTTGTCATTTTGATTAGAAGTGTCGTTTTAGAGTTATGATTTGTTGAAAAATCTCGCGAGATTCTAAATGGTTGAATTTTAGCCGAGATTTTAGCAAAAATGGGAAGGATTGACCATAACAAACAATTATGCTATGCTTCAGGAACATCGGAAATTTTCGGTAAAAAATCCTAAGAAGTGTTCAAAACTTACCCTCAAAATGCTAACTTCTGTGAAACATTCAAGTTAGACACTTTTTTTTCCAAAAGTTTTTTTGTTAGGCTCAAACAAAAGGACTCCACAGAGCCAATAACAATTGCATAATTGAATAAGTACATTAAAGTATTAATAGGGACATAGTTTATGAATTCTTCTTACTCTTCCTTGGAGGCGACTTGAGTTTAGCTTTCGCTTTCATACGTGCTCTCAACTCCTTTGCTTCTGCCAATTGTTAGTTATAATTCACTATCTCGAATTTGTAGTAGTAATGCCACGGATACACTTGTATGATCAACTATGATCATGAGCCTTATTTGTGTAATAAAATTCATGCACATCAATGGTCACACTTGTATAGTTTTTGTATAGTGCTCATAATTATTATACAAATAATGCTCATGTTCATAGTTTGTCATACAAGTGTGTCCGCGGTATAATACGCATCGATTTTGTACTTGAAAACATGCGGCTGCTGTTTCTCAGCAGCGCTTGCTTCCTCTCCACTGTTCTTTTTAGCGTTCGGAGACGTCACATCCATCACCACAACTTCTTCTTCCAGGACCTCAACTGCTTCCTCGTTTGGCGATGCATCTCCAGTACTGGTCTCTTCCTCATTCCGTTGTTTGTTTTCTTCTTCCGTTCGTTGTTGTACTGACTGCTTTCGATCCTTCCGCTTGGGGCAGGAATTCATCCGATGCCCCTCCGTCTTCCAAAGGAAACATAAAAAGTTGTTCTCTTGGTAGAATGTGTTCTCCTTTCGATTTATTTATTTATTTATCAACATCAACAGACTTGATATGGTCCCAATGATGGATTAACTTTAAAAAAATGAGGAAAGCAGCGAGTTGGGATTCTCCTTTTTAATATTCATACATAGACCTCGCACACCTGTAAGCATATCGAGGTCCAAGGCAGCTGGAAATTATTCCCGTACTACACGCTTTACATCACCGTATTTCCTCCAACAGCCAACATGCGTACCTCGACAAACTTCTCATCGGTATAATGGAAATATATTTCTTCACGGTTGTATAGCAAACAATAAATCATCGAACCCTCTGATTTGAACTTGATGAACATAGATTTGTCCTCCGCTACGCGATATGTAGCGTTCATCTGAGTGGGATCTGCATCCAGTGATTTCACAAAATTTGCAATGTCTTCCATTGATGGTTTCGCCGATCCATGTGGGAAGCTGAATCTTATCGTCAGTTTTATTTTCACCGACATCTTCACTAATTGTTTGCTTACAACGGGGTATGTCGCGTGACTCGCACCGAAAAAAACACACAGTTGCTTGTGTCAACAGCTACGAGCGGAATGTCACTCAAAGATTAACAAAAATCCTTAAGCAACAACTTTTGGATACATTTTTAAACTTTTTGTTTAAATTGTTTTGATAAATATCCAGAACAACATATGAAAAGGGCATACAAGCTTTTTGTAAACAAACATTTGTAGGCCCTTTTCTCACCAACCGAGGGTCACCCACGCAAACCAGCAATATCATCGGGAAGGGGAAAGTGTCCCCTACCCGGTGATGTTAAAGGTTTGCGTTGGTGTCATATGGGTGGCGAGAAAAGGGCATAAGAAGGTTTGTTTACAAATAGCTTGTATGCCCTTTTCACATGTTGTTCTGGATATTACAAAGAAAACAAGTTTGAAAGTCAAAAAAAGTATTGTTTTAACAGAAATTTTACCAAAAGTATACATTTGACAGATCTTCTGCTCGAATGGAATAACTTTTCGTGTGACTTTGACAGACAATCGATTGTTCCAATTTTGACGTGTCGTCTCTTTATAAATTCAGCATCTTTAGTTACCACGAGTGTTAACAGGCGGTTAGCCACCGACAAACCGACATGACACTTCATTCTGACTTATGTCCGAAAATCGTAAATGGCCGATTTAAATGTGTAGTGATCCGAACTGTCAAAATCATAGGATTTTTTGATCTAGATAAAAATAATTTGTCCAGAATAGATCAGACACGAACCAATTCATAACTTTTGCAAGGGGCTTCATGGCTTAGCAGGGTGGCTAGACCTACCGATTTATCGGTAGTCCTACCGATTTTCGGAATGCTTACCGATTCACAGACGAAAGGTTAAAAACTACCGATTTTTCACTTTTCCTACCGAGAATCATAGATTTTTAGTAATCTTGAAAAATCAGTGCCAACATTTCAAAGGGCGTAATTGCTTTTGTAAATAATGGCTTTAGCCATCGATTTCTCGCAAATAAAAGCTCACTCCTCTAAATTAACAATGCTATCTTTTAGAAGAAACATTCCTCTACCTGTGTAATTAATTTTCATGAGTGAGCTTTTATTTGCGAGAAATCCACGGCTAAAGCCATTGTTTACAAATGCAATTACGCCCCTTTGAAATGTTGGCACTGAAAGGTTCAATACCTATTTTTTTTTTCGTGTACACTGAGCGAATTTACCATGTCGTCATTGCATGATTAATCATTCAGAGCTAGTCAGAATTAGAACTGGGGTGGGACGTGCTGTCAAATTAGCCTACTGACCATTTTTGTATGAAATTGGTTCCAAACGTAAACATCGACGTAAACAAACCCTGTAGGTTTCTAATGGATTGTTTACGTTTGGAACCAGTTATGCGAGGTAGGCGACGATTGTTCGTATTTGACAGCCACCTCCCCCCTTAAATTAGAAATATTGATTTCGACACGTTCAAAGCAAAGAGAAGAGGAGATAATACGGGGGCGAAAACGAACCACTTTTCTGTCAAACGCGAACCAGCTCGTGATTCCGATTTGAAGTGCGTAAGATAGAGACAGAGATAGAGATAGATAGAGATAAAAAAGTTGGAAGGGTTGTATACTAGATACGACCGCAGGGTTGGCGTTGGATAACATCTGTTATGTGTTGTACTTAACCCTTAAATGCATAGTGTTGCCATTTGGCAACATACCTATGTTGGTCTTTAAACATGGTGAAACAACATTTTAATAGTAAGAACAATATATACTACAAGAAAAAAAAATCACCACAAAATAAAAAATCATGCATTTAAGGGTTAATTGTGTATATTATATTTTAGGAATATTCCTTAATAACTCTTTTGCGAAAGTTTGGTGGCCCTGAACAGGGCCGTTTTGTTGGGCTGATGTTGTTGACAATGATGGAACGGGCGACCTTGTTGGACGCTTATATAGTAGAACAGAAAATATCAGAGGTGTCAGATACTCGCATCTGATGTCTCGGTTGGAGAAAGTATAAGAATATAAAAAAATCAATCGATTTTCACCATCTTTAGACGATCGTTTACTTTTAACCATTTTTCAATAGTTTACAGAATGAAATCAATAGTTTTGAAACATTCAGCAAATTGCTAGGAATATTTCCAATCGATTGATGCCATTATCTCGTACATCTATCGAGAGACGGTTGAGTTATTATCGTTCAAAATCTTTTAATTTTTCGTAACGCATCCAAAATGACTGTTTTCAATTTTGTACCCCCGTATGTTGCCGAAAGACGTTATCCAACGTCAAAAGTAAGAGTCTCCTCTTCCTCTTAGGTTTAAAGCATAAGAACTGAAGGACAGTGTATTGTTCTGAAGCAGAGTCCCCCCCCCCCCCGCTCATAAAGATTTCAAGTTTCGGGAAAGCCTTATTGAGACGGCCTACCGATAAAAGTTTTGCGAAGCTACCGACAATGAAAAAAAAAATAATCTGGCCACCCTGTGGCTTAGCTAAATATTTCCCACGAACACGGAACCAAATGTCAGTAGTGTGCTTTGGTCAGAAATTTTATTATTTTTTCTATGGTCATTCATGTCGGTTAGCTACGGAATTAGAAATGAACGATAAATGATCAACGTATTGTAAAGTTTTTGTACGAAAATCAGTATACACGAGACAGAGAGTGGGAAGGGGGATGATCTAAGAGCCCTCAAAATTTTCGAATTAGCTGTATATGTACCGCCCAAAAGCCCTACCGAGAATAGGCTAGCAACCGCACGAAACCCTACTTGCATACCCAAAATATCGTGATATCTGCCAAAATCCAAACGCACAAATTCAAGTACAAAATTAGCAATGTAATATATATATTATAAATAATATGATCAATGAAACAAAAGTGACAAATTACGCAGGCAGTGAGTGTAGGTTTTTTGAAAAATCATAGATAAATGATATTATTGTTTGGTTACGCACAAAACTAGCAGCAAACAAAATCCGACTGGCTTGGTGAACTATCCTAAGTCTTTTGTGCTCTACACGGAATGACCATCTGCATCTATTCATCATTTTTTATTTGGATATCCGACTGACCCTTCCATTCCTCATTCAGATGCACCTTGCAGCCTAAATCACGCAGTGCCGACTTTACATCTTGGACAATCGTCAGATGATCCGTAAGCGCTTTGTTCAGAACATCCTCCGCTCCATGGTTGACGAATGTCTCGCACTGTTCACGTGATCGCGATACCATGTTTCTGATCGCCCAAGCACCGTTCCGTTGCACTATCTTACTGGTAGGGTGAATCTTCATCGTTTGAATTATAGTTTCGGGGATGCCCGTTTCAAACAGTGCATTACTGTTCTCCTTTTCCCTGAGGGCGAGCGTTGCCACACACACCAAGGCATGCTGGGCAAATGCTTCATTATCCTTGTGACGATTGAGAGCCGATTCAATTAGCGGTGCAGCTCCGTTTTGGATGATGCGTGACTTTACCGAATCATTTCCGGCCAGTGCTTTCAGCAGTTTGCATGATTCCCTGAGAATTTTGATCGATTCCGGAAACTCAACCATCGCATCCATGATGAACTTGAGACCACCAGCATCTTCAACCACTTGACAAAATTCATTACGCACCGTCATAGTAGCAACCGTCAGTAGAAGATCACAAACCAGATCCTGGTCCGATTTGAATTCTGCAAATGAAAACCGTTATAGGTTTCGATCAACTTCAGAAAAATAGATACTATACATACTGAACAACAAATGAGTGACATCAGTTAAGGTTTCTGCGGCCAATATTCTGGCATGGTCGTGAGCTTTACTAAAATCAACGCGAATATCGTCATCCAAAATGAGATATCTGAATAAAGCACACACATTCTTGACCACTTCCGCTTCATCGTGGCCAACGAGGATCTTAAACTGCTTCATAGTGGAACCGTCTTCCAATATCATCTGGCGGTTCCTTTCGTGAAGAATACATGCTTTTTGAAGCCATCGCAACAGATCACTAACCAAAGCTTTGTCGGTTTCGGTTTTCAGTAGCCTACAACGAGCAATAATAAAACAAAAATTTCCTCAGATCACAAAAAAAATCCTCACCGCAAAGCGACTTCCAGCGACTTGAAGTTGAAAACATCCGGTTGCTTATTGACGATCGAATTGGCTGCTGCAACCAACTTCGCCAACACTTCCTTGTCCAGCGCCTTTCCCTTCTCCAGTGCTTCAACGATAAAGTCATAAGCCCCCAACTTCGCCGCCAACACACGATGTGGTACACTCTACGAAGACAAAGGAACATTCCACTTCACTGAACACCTAAATATGATTGCCTCCCACACTATTACCAATTTACATTCCGCTGCAACCGTCGCCAGATGTTTGCAAACCTCCTCCTTATCAGCCCCGGATAGATCCGTCCCCTTCGTTTTCAACCACTCCACACTCTCGTTCAGTAAAGGCACACCACTTTCGGCATTTACGTTCAAATCTTTTATGATATTGGCCAAATTGATACCTTGGGCTTCGAACTGTTTCACCGTTTCCTCCCTGGATTCCTCCGCGGACATAGAAAACTCGACAATGTTTTCCTTGACCACATCGTCGAACGTTTCCTGGGTAATCACTTTGGCCATTGTCACACGCAGAGGGTGCTGAAGCTACTGCAACTAGAGGAGACACAATCAGAGTCGAAAAATGTGTGGGTGGTGAACTTACTGTTAGTAGCAGATCTGACTCATCATGCTGCTTTTTTGTTGGATCGAATGCTTACCTGATTATTGATAAATTGACACTCAACTTTCTAAACCCGTGGCTAAATCAATCTGAATCCAGCTACCTTCAATTCAGATTACCAAATTAGGAAGAGCACCAAACATGGAACGTTTGTTCGATTTCAGACTGTTGCAATCTCGACAACTTGCAGGACGGTTTGCTTGTGCAATGTGCAAAACTTGATGCAAGTCGTCATGAAAAACACAGAAAACTACTTTCACCGATTATCAGAGCTGCCAGGTGGTTTTATAAAAAATCTGTATCCACTCTATTAAAAAATCTGTATTTTCTGTATTGACGATTTTTTTCTTAATTAATCATGTTTTGTTGTTTTACAAATACAGTGCATACAAAATAACCATAAAAAGTGCTTAACCATCTATTCAGGCTATCGTACTAACCATACGGGATATAATTGCGCCATTTGTGATATCGTCCGTACTTATTTATAAGAGTGATATGAAGCCGTTTGAAAATGTATGGAGATTTTAGTTTCTATTCATTATCTTCCTGATAAGCAGTTTTAAATGCAAAAAAGTGCACGAGTTCATTACTATTTGATATTTTTAATATAGATGAATACAATTAATTACGTCATTTGTGTGGTAGTTACACCGAAAGGTCAAGAGATGTCGCCCCGCCAGTGCTGGTAAAATCATTTTTGCAGTATGGAGAATATCAGAAAATCCGCTATTTCTTAGGAAATACATTTTCAATGCAAGTAAAATGTTTACGAGTACTTGTATTTGTACCATTTTAGGCTGTGAACCATTTGCCGAGTTAAATTTAACTCGTGGTTAAAAGTGACATTTCGAAAGTTATTTTCTATGTTCGAAAATCCCCGTGCTGTCGATCGACCAGTTTTCGAGCCACGGTTGTCAAAATTTAACTTCTTGTCTGTCAGAAATAACCATGCTCGGATAGCAGGGTTAATCGATAACTTTTCATCTGTCAAATTTTAACCAAAAGTTAAAATAATCCACCAAATGGTTCAGAGCCTTAGGCTGTGAACCATTTGCCGAGTTAAATTTAACTCGTGGTTAAAAGTGACATTTCGAAAGTTATTTCTTATGTTCGAAAATCCCCGTGCTGTCGATCAACCGGTTTTCGAGCAACGGTCGTCAAAATTTAACTTCTTGTCTGTCAGAAGTAACCACGCTCGGATAGCAGGGTTAATCGATAACTTTTCATCTGTCAAATTTTAACCAAAAGTTAAAATAATCCACCAAATGGTTCAGAGCCTTAATGTGCTCGGGCACTTTTCTTGTATTTAACATACATGCTTATATTGGAAATATTCAATTAATACTGTAAATCCCCATACAATCTCAAATCGTTTACTACCAGCTCCATATGCATCCGAAAGCGGTTGGTCCTCTGGTTGTGAATGCTGTCAAAAACACCATAACATGATTAATTGTCGATGGAAATTTGATAGGTTCCCGAGCAGAGGGTGAGAACAAAATGAAAACAAGAATTATGTTGTTTTCATTATTCCTGATAACTCAAATTGATTTCATTTTGATGGAGTTGATGGCTAACAGAACAAAAATTAGAGCTAAAAGATATGCGAATAATATCAAAATTATAACATATATTGATATTAGTGAGAACTGCTTGATAACTTATTTTGATATAGATTTTTTTTTTCTCAAGCATTTTATAAAAATCTGTATAAATCTGTATTGTAATATAAAAATCTGTAATAAATCTGTATTCTGTATCGGGTCTGTATTAAGATTAAAAAATCTGTATAATACAGATAAATCTGTATAAATGGCAGCGCTGCCGATTATTTATTGTTTGACGTTTCTTTTTGTGTTTCATGTCCGCTTTCTCACCTTTCTCACACGGAGATGCAAACATGTTGAAGTTGTTCAAAATTAAAAAATAAAAGGGAGAAGTTGAAAATCATCTGGTCATTTCACATACCCATAAAACTCGCGTCACTTTTCAAATAGACCAATGTAACAAATGTAAACAAAACGAGTTAAGCGATACAAACTGTTGCTCTTCGACCATTGTATGTCATACAAAAACATCCATCCAAATTCACTTTCATTTATTTAATATAATCATAGGAAAAAAATTGTCCAATGTACAGTTTGAAATGATGAGTACATGATTGTTACTTCGGTCATTCGGACTGCCTAACATGATTGGTGCTAATTTTCCAAAGGCGGGGCCAATCTAAAGTTAGGTACTATACTCTGAAATCTGTGAAAGGGAATCTAGTATCATGTAGACAAAACGTCCAATGTAACACTCATTGATTATGTCATTGAGAAAAACCGTCCAATGTAACATATCCGATGTACAACTCGACTTGTCAAAACGTCCTATGTGGTTTTTTCTATGTTGTAGCATGAAATTCAAAGTAAAATTGTGATTTTACCGTTTCTTCTGAATTTTCAACGTTATTATACACTGGCTACATTAAGGCTCTGAACCATTTGGTGGATTTTTTTTAACTTTTGGTTAAAATTTGACAGATGGAAAGTTATCGATTAACCCTGCTATCCGAGCGTGGTTACTTCTGACAGACAAGAAGTTAAATTTTGACAACCTTGGCTATGTTCTTCTCGAAAACCGGTCGATCGACAGCACAGGGATTTTCGAACATAGAGAATAACTTTCGAAATGTCACTTTTAACCACGAGTTAAATTTAACTCGGCAAATGGTTCACAGCCTAAAAATAGTATTGCAAAATGTATTGTTTTTAAACAGTTAAATTAATAATCTGTCGAACTTCAACTTCGATTTTCTCAAAATGGTGGATATGTTACATTGGTCTATTTGAAAAGTGACGCGAGAGCAAATTGTCATTACGTCGAATGTAATAAAGCTAAACAAAGTCGAGCTATCAGTGTCAATCGATGCTCCTGCTATTACACTATATACTGTCCGAATATAGGATCACATCCCATTTTTAAATTTATTTACCAGTCGAATTGCTTTTTGACGTAATCACCTTCCGATCAAAATAGTTTTCAATGTTACTTAAGTCATCCGATTTCTATGGAGATGCCGTTTGCCTTAAGTAACAGCACTGAGAAACCCGTGAAAAGTGTACTTTCGTCGTTTCGCTTTCTCATTATTAAAGTGAATAAATCGAACTGTTTGTTCCTAAGATGATTTCGGTGGTCCTAAAATGATGAATGATAATTGATAATTCTCCCGAATATCCTGGTAAATACACTACACCAAACAACGTATAATAACTTTTGACTCAAAAACCAGTATTTCTTAGCATGAAAGCTAGCGATTTGTCTTTGTATGATTAAAACCCGGCTGAATATGTTAAACATCCCGCATAAGCGCGAACCATAAATTGACCTTACCTAAAATGGTTATAAATTGTTTATAATCCCTGCTAAACTTCAACTGAAATGGTTATGGAACTTTACATGAACGTTTAATGATAAAGTTTTAACCTTAAGTATTATAGTTTTTTGGAAGTGGACCTTACAAATAATGGGTTGTTAAGAACCATTACCATTCAACATTCTTGTTTTCTCCATACATTTTCGGAAAGAAAACTATACTAAAACCTTTTAACTTATGGTTTGAGAACATTAATGGTAATGGTTATGGTAACCAGTAAGGTCCATGAATGGTTTTGTAACATCGATCAACTTTATGTGGAATATATCACGAATTGGTTGCCTGTAATTTACTGATTACCAATTCACGATATATTTCACGTAAAGTTGAGTGATAATACAAAACCATTAATGGACCTTACTGACTACCATAACCATAACCATTAATGTTCTCAAACCATAAGTAAAAACGTTCTAGTATAGTTCTCTTTCCGAAAATGTATGGAGAAAACAAGAATTTGGAATGGTAATGGTTCTTAACAACCCATTATTTGTAAGGTCCGCTTCCAAAAAACCATAACAAATAAGGTTAAAACTTTATCACACAAACGTTCATGTAAAGTTCCATAACCATTTCAGTTGAAGTTTAGCAGGGATTATAAACAATTTATAACCATTATCGGTAAGGTCATGTGATGGTTCGCGTTTATGCGGGATTGCTATCACTATGAGATTATATGTGTTTAATTGAAAATAGGAATAACTTTTCGGTCATCAAAACAAAACTTTATTTTTCTCGGATCGGTGCGAATGTTACTTACGACATAATGAAAATTTGCTCATGACTTTCTGACAGGCGCCTTTTTATAGCATCAGAGGGGCCCAACAATTTGAATAATAATATTATTACTGAGCACTACCGAATCAATGACATTTATATAAGGTCTGGGCCAACAGGCAGCTTGCTGGTGTTAGAAGCAAAAATGTTATTTTATTTTTTTTTTGTTATTTTATTTATTTACATCAACAGGCTGGATGAAGCCCCAATGATTTAAACCTTATCAACTATGGTAAAAAAAATACATTCAAGCATGGTCATAACATAAAAAAACATTAAAAAACGTATATCTTATAGTCAATATCTTAACTCCTGCCGGCGAAAAACAGAAGAAAACTTTCGACGAAGCGCATCGCGGGAGAGATGAAAGTCGAAAACAGATGCAACTCTGTTGAATGTTCTCTGCAGTCCGCTAATCGCACCGTACGCTCCATAATTTGTGCGACGTAGAGGCAGTCTTAGCATAAGGTTATTACGAAGCGGTCGGGGTTGAACATTCAGGTCAATTTGCCTCAGGATAGCCTCACAATCTGTCCTTCCTTGTAGGATATCGGCCACGGTAAGGGCTCTGTTTGTGTCTCTTCTAGTCCGGAGAAGTTCTAGGTCGATAAGTTGACAACGGCTTTCGTAGCTTGGTAATCGAAACGGATCGTTCCAAGGCAATCTACGCAACGCAAAACGAAGAAAGCGACGTTGAACAGATTCAATTCTCTCGGCACCGTTGTTGTAGTTTGGGTTCCAAACCGCTGAACAATACTCAAGCGTCGATCGAACAAGCGAACAATAGAGAGATTTTAGACAGTAGATATCAGTGAAGTTTTTAGCTATCCTAAAAATGAACCCTAAAGTTCTTGACGCCTTATCAACAACATATGCAATGTGTTGCTTGAAAGAAAGCTGCGAATCCAAGATCACACCCAAGTCTTTCACCTGATTCACGCGTTCGATTGTCGAGCCAAGCAGGTCATAGCTAAATATTATCGGTTGTTGTTT